AGTCTTGATACTTGTTTAGCAAAGTTAGGTAGCATTACTGTTAGCTTTGGTTACAAAAAAGGATGAATTTTTAATTCCCTGCCAGTCACTGATCAGATTTCACCTTGTCTTATGGCTGATGCTGCTCAGTGGAATGATGCTAATCACACGGACTTCATCGACTCAGCTGGCACTGTGTTGCAACATGCTATTGCTCTTCTGAAGCCCACTAAGGTCTCAGCTCGCCAGCTACCTCCAAGTGTAGCCAGGGTGGATGCCAAAAGCCGAGTGCTGTTTCCTCTTGGGTTGGGACATGCTGCTGAGTACGTCCGGCCTCGGGTGGCGCTCATTGGGTAAGATAATAACAGAGCAGGGCCACTCCCTTCTCACTGTGCTGCTAGAGGTCACACCTGAACTCTGCTCTATTCTTAGGGATGCAGCCCACAGAGTCCATCCACTTGCAGGACAAGGTGTCAACATGGGCTTTGGGGATATCTCCAGCTTGGTCCATCACCTTAGAACTGCAGCCTTCAATGGGAGAGACTTAGGTAAGGATTCAGGTACCCTGAAGTATCCAGAGGTCATATAGTTAGGGAAAATCAGGGCCCCAAAATATCCACAGTAGCAAGATGTGGTACACATAAAATGTATTTGATTTGTTAGGAGAGGGAAAAATACTTTATTTTTGGATTAGGAGCTTAACCTTTCCTCTGTTTTCCAGGCTCCATGAGCCACCTCACAGGTTATGAAACAGACAGACAACGTCACAATACTGCTCTTCTGGCTGCCACAGACTTACTAAAAAGGCTGTACTCCACCACCGCTACTCCGCTTGTGCTGCTCAGGACATGGGGCTTGCAGGCCACAAATGCAGTGTCTCCACTCAAAGTAAGAGGCCACTCTTGGCTTTCTAAGATTCTTGCTCATGGAAGAATGACTTTGCAAACAGCTCTTAATTTCTTCGAATTAATTTTCTTGGCTATGAAATTATCTATTTTTCCAGTGCTTATGAGCAAAAAGGTACTTGCTAGGCTTGTTGGTATTAAGGTCCACATCTGAGCAATAACTTTTATAGGGAGGACTTAAATTCTTTTTGCTGCTTGGCTAGCTCCTTCCCTGAGAAACTTCCATTTAAAAATACTTTTTGTTTTTTTAGCTGAAATAAAGCAGGGAGTCTTGGGAGTACCTTTATGGGACTTTGTCTAAGTTTTTGCTTTAATCACTTTGGATATTTTATTTTCCTCACCTGCTATCATACCTTACAGCTTTTGTTTTTTGGGTTTTTTTTTTGAGACAGACTCTCACTCTGTTGCCTGGGCTAGAGAGTCGTGGCCTCAGCCTCCCTAGTAGCTGGGACTACCGGAATGCGCCACCATGCCCAGCTAATTTCTATTTTTTTAAGTAGAGATTGGGTCTCACTCTTGCTCAGGCTGGTTTCGAACTCCTGACCTTGAGCTATCTGCCCGCCTCAGCCTCCCAGAGTGCTAGGATTACAGGTCTGAGCCACTGCGCCTGCCCATACCTTACAGTGTTAAAAGTGTCACTCAAACTTTGTTTTTTTCTCTAGGAACAGATTATGACCTTTGCAAGCAAATGAGTGCTCCTCTTCTAGAGTTTATGTTGATGAAAAAAAGAACATCCTTCTCCAGGACCATCTCACACATTTTCAAGATTTAATTTAATAAATTTACATTGCATTAGAGAATTCCCATCTCTTCTTCTCTGCTTAATGGGCCTGTGGAGCCCAAATAATGCGTGATAATTTGCGGTGAGGAGGATATATTAGCCAAGCCAAGGGAAAAAACCTTAGAGGAAGACTATTACGATTTGGTTGAAAAAAACATTTTATTACTAAAACAAAAATCATTGAGGTGCTGTCTCAGTCATTTTCACTTGTTAACAATTCTTTCTAAAGAGAAGACTTACAGTTTTTTTTTAATGCTGGTCATAAGTTTATACAATTGTTTTTGATAGAATTAGAAATACTCAGTGCATTTTTGTTAGAATTGCTGTTTAAAAATTAACATCAGAATACAAATTAAATATAAACTGCTTTAACCTTTATTATAGCTACACTGGATTTTCTAAAAAAAACCCAGATTTTATTAATGTGAGTTATTCTTCATCACAGCACCAGATTTCACCTTTATTTATGGTTCCTCTCTGGGACACCACTGTCTAATAAAATAATAAATAATTTCATTGCACAGGTTTGAAGACCTCGGGAACCAGGTCAAAAGGGAAACTATGATTAGCAGCAGACTTTGTTCATGCTTGGTAGCAGACTGGTAGCCAAGTGGAGGGAGTGGTATTTTGTTTTTTGGGTTTTCTTTTGGTTTTTTTTGAGACAGAGTCTCACTTTGTTGTCCAGGCTACAGTGAGTGCCGTGGTGTCAGCCTCGCTCACAGCAACCTCAAACTCCTGGGCTCAAACGATCTTTCTGCCTCAGCCTTCTGAGTAGGTGGGACTATAGGCATGTGCCACCATGCCCAGCTAATTTTTTGTATATATATTACTTGGCCAATTAATTTCTTTCTATTTATAGTAGAGACGGGGTCTTGCTCTTGCTGGTTTCGAACTCCTGACCTCGAGTGATCCGCCGCCTCGGCCTCCCAGAGAGCTAGGAATACAGGCATGAGCCACCGTGCCCGGCCTGTTGTGGGTTTTTAAAGAGCTCACACTTCATAGTACCAGAGATGCCTCTTGAAGAGATTTTCAGGTCTGTTAGATTTGGTCACTATGAAGAACATCTTCCCCAGACATCTGATTTGAAGATGAAATGAGAAGAAACAGTCTGCTTTTGAACCAAGCAAGCTATTCTTGAGAATAATTTTTAAAGGCATGAGAAGTCTGTTACTACAGGGGAGCTTTTCAGGCAAATGCAGAAAATTTATAAGATACTAGAGTAAAAAAGTAACAGTGTCACAACCTTCCTGGAATCTCAGGAAAAACATAGCCAGAATAAAAGATGGCAGCTGCTGTGAAAAGCTGTATGACTACTATACCAGAGTCTGTAGGGACAAAGTCGTCATTCATAAAAAAAAACCAGAAAAGTGGCATAGGTGCGGAGAACACACACTCTCTAAAAGTTTGCAAACAAAATCAGGCAAGATGAAGAATTTTAAGGCACACCTTGCAAGGACCTTCATATGACAATGATGATGATAACAAATATAAGATCTACCATGTATTAGGCCATGTCCTAAGTATTTTCAATATATTAACACATTTACAGAGTAGAAGCTAACCAGCAGTATTAGAATCTATAGGACCCTTAATAAGAGGCCCAAAGGGTACACTGGGGTCAGAATGGACGTTATAGACAATTTTTTTTTTTTTAAGAAACAAAAATTCTCATTCCAAATTGTTCTTTTGAGACAGAGTCTCACTCTGTTGCCCAAGCTAGAGTGCTGTGGCGTCAGCCTAGCTCATAGCAACCTCAAACTCCTGGGCTCAAGCGGTCCTCCTGCCCTAAGCCTCCTGAGTAGCTGGGATTACAGGCATGTGCCACCATGCCCGGCTATTTTTTTCTGTATATGTTTTTAGTTGGCCAAAATTTCTTTCTATTTATGGTAGAGAGGTGGTCTCGCTCTTAGGCTGGTTTCGAACTCCTGACCTTGAGCAATCCGCCCACCTCAGCCTCCCAGAATGCTAGGATTACAGGCATGAGCCACCGCACCTGGACCCCAATTTTTTTTTTTTTTTTGAGACAGTGTCTCACTCTGTCATTGGGGCTAGAATGCTGTGGCGTCAGCCTAGCTCACAGCAACCTCAAACTCCAGGGCTCAAGCAATCCTCCTGCCTCAGCCTCCCAGGTAGCTGGGACTACAGGCATATGCCACCATGCCCAGCTAATTTTTCTATGTATTTTTAGTTGGCCAATTAATTTCTTTCTATTTTTTAGTAGAGATGGGGTCTCGCTGTTGCTCAGGCTGGTCTTGAACTCCTAAGCTCAAGCAATCCCCCCCGCCTTGGCCTCCCAGAGTGCTAAGATTACAGGCGTGAGCCACTGCACCCAGCCCCCAAATTGTTCTTAAAATGGACAAATTGGTTAATTCTCCAGGTGTTTTCATCAAGATTAACAAAATATATTTAGATAAATTTCTGGAGTTAGAGTGCCTCTATCCGAGAGTTCCAAAGATATTTGGGATGACCAAAGGAGCCTGCTGAATAATGTGTTATTTTACAAAAATGGACCCTTGTTGATAAGTTTCAGAGACAAAATGCAGTGATAAAGACAAGAGAATCTTATGTCTCTGGATTTGTCAATCTGGAAGAGTCTTTTTTTTTTTTGAGACAGAGTCTCACTTTGTTGCCCAGGCTAGAGTGAGTGCCATGGTATCAGCCTAGCTCACAGCAACCTCAATCTCCTGGGCTCAAGCGATCCTACTGCCTCAGCTTCCCAAGTAGCTAGGACTACAAGCATGCGCCACCATGCCCCACTAATTTTTTTATATATTTTTAGTTGGTCAATTAATTTCTTTCTATTTTTGGTGGAGATGGGGTCTCACTCAGGCTAGTTTCGAACTCCTAAGCTCGAGCGATCCACCCACCTCAGCCTCCCAGAGTGCTAGGATTACAGGCATGAGCCACCACGCCCGGCCTGGAAGAGTCTTTAGTGAACACAGCTTACCTGTTGGGGAAACAACTTGGTTTCTACTGGAGGAAACAGTCTTTCCCTAATACATGGGCCAACATTTAATGTACTGTGACTGGTCTAGCACCCCTTTTGGACAAAGAAGGGGGTCTAGACATCTGTCACATGTTAAAGAAGAGCCCATAAAGAACTTGGGAGAGGCTTTCTTCAAAATATTGAAAGGCTTTGGAAGGAGCATTAGAGCAGAACTAAAACCACTGAGAAGATAGGTAGATGTCAGCTCAATATAAAGAGGAATTTTTTTTTTACCATCATTGCAATCCCAAAGGGAATGAGCTATCTGAAAACATGCCTAAGCAGATGCTGAATGATAACCTGTTTTTATTGAGGAAGGCAATAGGTATAAAGATGAGCTTAGTAATAATAGTGTGAAAAGTTTTAAGAAATTCCACATTGAATTAAAAAAACAAAATCTGGGGGATAAGGACACAGAAATTTGCTTAGTTTCTTACACAGAGCAGATATTAAATATTTGATGCAATGGAGGTTCCCCAGGACCTGGTGTGAAGGCCAGGTGCATTTAATATTCTTTGTGAGAAAGCAGAATGAAAGGGAGTCCACTGTTTGGGGAGATATCTCTCCTGGAAAGAAGGTAGAGGTAAAGGAGGAGCCAGACCACAGGAAGATCTTCCAAGTCTAAGGGCATCAGAGTAGGTGGACAAGAAGCAGATAACTACTATGTGGGAAAGTACAAGATAAATGAATTTGAGGGGAAACAATTGAGTTCTGAGCCTTCAGACTCAAAAAGAGAACTTGAGAGTCATTAAACATGGCTCTTTCTGGAGATGCTAGCCCACTGTACTGATGTGGACCAAAAGAGCCACCAAATCAAATGTGGAGGATTATTGGGAGGAGAATTGGAAATCCTGGTACTAAACAAATAATTCAGAGGATATTAGCTAAACTGCTCAGGAGCCAGGGCAGAAGATACTGCTATAAACAGACAGCATAAAAGGGTAATCTGAAAGAGGCTATGACCAAAATTTATAGATGCTAGGATAGCACAAACACTGACCTCTCACCACAGACCACAAGGTAGGGTATAGTTACTATAGTTCTATTCTTAGAAATACAAAGAAAACAAGTTTAGTTCATGGAAAATACTATAAACACATTAGCCTAGGAGGTGGTACTGACACTAAATACACACATAAGATTGGATATGTTCATTAATCCCAGAGTTGAATGATAAAAAGTTGATTACAGGAGATAGGCTACATGAGGCAGCTATAGCCTCCCACGACATGTCTCCAGACACTGGATGTCGTCCTTTCTTAAGGCTGCGAGCTATGCACAGTTAGGAGCTACTCTCCATCCTATTACCATTTAGGATGGCTCTCCACTGGCTGATTGGAGCTAGCACAGAACAAGATCACAAATTCTGACATGGTACCATTTTTGGGGGGGTGGGAATTATACATGGAAAGCAAAAACAGGTATTTTTTTCTCTTTTGGGGGGAGGTATATGCAGATAAGGGTAGGCAGTGTACAGGGAGGAGAAAAATACTGGTATTGCTAGGTCATGGGATTGCAATAAATCAGCTTAATATAGCATATAAGAGGAAAATTAAAATGTTTAAGGTATGAGGCACTCAAAGGGTTGAAATGAGATTTTTCTTTGGTTCCCTGGGTTCTCCAAGGTTGAGTTCCAAAGCTATACTTTTTGGCTCACAGGGCTCTCTGTGACACACAAAGAATTTCAAAAGATTTAGACTCTTCTGGTGCCAACTGTGCATGCTGAGTGTTTAGGTAGCAGTTCACATTAAATGTGTAAAACTAAATTAAACTCAAATTTCTAGACTCAAGGACAAGATCCATCTACAAAAGCTCCTTTTCTCCTGATAAAGCTAGCTGCTGGGCTTCAGTCCAGGTTGTCCCCCAGACTAGCTCAGAAAATGACTCTCCTTCTCCCTTTAAAAAGGTTGTTGGCAAATGGAGGCCTCAGAGGAAGTGCGTGTCCTCAGTGGGAAATGCCCAGAGACTGCAACAGGTGAAAGGTGGCCCCCAAGGCCCAACCTGTTTCTATGTTGTTCACTTTCTTTGTGAGCTGTTGAGGAGGGAAAAAAAAGTCTTCACATTTTCATCCAATTTTCAACTCCAGCAAGCATGGCACTTGGCAGATCATGTTGGCAAATAGCATTCAATGGTCACACCAAGGCAAAAACTGGGAGGAATCAGGCTTGGGAGGCTTCCCACTACTCATCTCTATAACAGTTTCCTCCAACCATGGCCCACCGCCTCTGCACCCACCATTCTGATCCCTGGGTGTTTCTGACCCAGGAAGCAGTCCACCAGGCCTTCAAGAGATCTTCTAGACAGATAGGATTCTGAACTCTTTCCCTAGTCTTGAAACTAAACAGCATCCCCACCTTTATTTTCTGAATCACCCATTTATGATGAGGCAACTTGTAATGGTAATAGATGTGGTAGAAAGGGCATGATGAAGAATTGGGAATAGATTTAGGGGTAGGAAAGAACAAACCAAGCTTCTCAATTCATACTATGTAAGCAACTGCCTCTTATTAAGCACTAATAATAACCAACCAGGGCATTTAAGACATTCTGGGCCAGACTGTGCCTCAGTGAGCTCAATGACCTTGGGCAAAGCTTTACATTCAATTTCCTCGAGTATATAACAAGAGGATTAGTGTTTATCAAATTGTTTTCTTCAGAATCCTAGTGTTTTTTGGAAATGCTTAGCAGGAAAAAAAGAGGTCAAATGGTAAAGGTGTTACAGGCTCCCAACCTCTGCCTCAACCAGAATAGCTCCACTTGATCAGTTTTATATCACTGGCATCCTGTATAAGCTTTTGTTGAATAAAGATGCCACCACCAAAAAGAAAAAAAAGTTTGTAAACCAGTGGATTGTTCTATGTTAACCTGATGAAACTGAGTCTGATCACTGTGCCCAAAACTGGGAAGAATGGCATTTAAATCATTATCTTGAGGAAAAAAAGTGATTATCATGACGTTCAGTCTCGGACACCTGAGTCAAATTGGAAGTGCCCACACCAAAATGCTCTTCCTGTGTCCTCAGGACTTGGCTGGAAGCCTGGGGGATATAGATGCCAAAATGAAGCTATCTCTGGAACAGGGGACTGTCCATGACTGATTTACATTCTGCCTCCACTGAAAATAGCAGGAAAATTGTCCTTAAATGACTTGGTTATTGTTGATACTCAAGTAGAAGCAGCTGTTAAGTTAGCATGTATTGAGAGGCTAAGGATGATCTCTTACCCACCAATTATCCCCAACTGATACAAAATCCATCCATTAATAGTAATACAAATACTAATAACTTACTATGTGCCAGGCATTGTGCTTTTTATGCATTATCTTAATTTTCATAACAGCCCTATGAAATAGTACTACAAGGATCCTTGTATTTCAAATGAGGAACCTAAAAGTTAGGGGAAGTCGATCTCCATTTAAGGCCACAGAGCTAGTAAGCATGCAAATCAGAACTTTAACACAGATCTAATGGACAACAGAGCCCAAGTTTTAAACACTACACTAACTCTTCTTGCCCTGAGCTCTAAATTGATTTAATAAACTATGTGACTTGGGCATGTTAAGTTGGGCTGCAAGATTTCTGTTCTGTGACTTCTGGAATAGCTTGCCTGGGCCAGGTTGTGCACAGGCAAGCAGTAATATACTCGGAGACTACCATTGCATCAGCATAATTTCCCACATTCATGGTGCCTAGCACAGTGCCTTGTCCATAGCCCAATCAGAAATACCTCATAATTCCACCTATAGCTACTCTGATTACTAAACAAATTCTTGACTCCTTCCCAACTCCCACAAAAGAAGACTGCTATGGGACTCTGGTGTCCCATCTCTTACCTGTAAGATGGTGCTGTCTGCAAAGCCAAAGCCATCCTTTAACAGGGCTGTGATATAGGCTAGGTCCATGCACAGAAAAGGACTGCCAGAGGTGAAGTTTTCCAAGTTATCACAAACTGAAAGTGAGAGACAGTGAACAGTGGAGTTCAAGTTTGCAACTAATTGAGACATGTAGGATTTGCTCTAAATATAGACTGAGGTAGAATAAGCAAAGCAGAAATCTTCATTTGATTAACTCCCGGGCCTCGTAGAAAGTAGACTGCACTGATTGCCTTTGCGAGACCCACAGCTTCTTAAGAGCTTGCACATTTCTGGCGTGATATCTTATTTACTCAAATTTACATGGGTCCTAGTTTATTTGCTAAGTTTCTGTGACCTATTGCAAAGGTTTAGTTCCTTACCTATTATTAATGCTGAGGCCCACAAGACAGGGCAATACCACTTAGCTCTACTGTGGGCCACTGGATAAGATCATTTGTATTTTAGATTGACTCTCTCAAGGAAGCCTCTGTGGCTTTTTCCCATGTATTTTTATGCTCGGTGTTTCATTAACACTGATAACACTATTTTAGTTTTAAAAAAAATAAAGGAAGAAATGTAGAAAGACAAAGTTTTTACCATTTCCCCAAAGCCTCTTGTATTCTTGCCCAGAATTATATGCCATCTAATGCTTACAAAAAAAATTTTTTTGGAGACAGGGTCTGGTTATGTTGCCCAGGCTGGAGTGCAGTGGCTATTCACAGGTGCAATCATAGTTCACTGCAGCCTCAAACCCCTGGCCTCAAGCATTCCTCCTGCCTCAGCCTCCTCAGTAGCTGAGACCACAGATGTGCACCACTGTGCCTGGCTAGCACCTGATGCTTTTAACTCCTAGCAAGGCTAGAAGACGCAGAAGGCTTTCTGAACTGACTGAGGTTACTGCTTTAGGTCACTAGAGTCAGCAGGCACAGGCACAGCCTCAAAGGGGTGCCTTCAAGGGCTTCCCTTGACACTTACCTTCTCTGGCCTTTCTTTCAAAATCTTCAACTTTTAAAACACCCCCCTTTTCATAATCTGAAATGAAAAAGAATAGCAGCTGATATAAAAAAGCCTTCAAGGAAATACAAGGAGAGTCATCCGAGTGATGTTATAATAAAAAACTGGACATTTTCAATATTAGAGAGTGGGATAAACAAACATGACATATCCATACAATATAATCTATACAGCCTATTTTATTTATTTATAATCCATTTCATCTTATGTATATTTAACTACAGTAAAAAAAAATAGACCAATTAAAAAGCACATAAACAGAAAATTAATTCTTATCTCTCAGGCCATGAAATATCATGTACTTAACTCACACAGTGAAACAAAAGCATTACTTTGTGTTAAGAAAAAAAGTTATTATAAAGGGGCAGGAAGAAACTTTTGGGAGTGATGGATATGTTCATTATCTTAAATGTGGCTATGGTTTCATGGGTGTATATCCATGACAAAAATTAGAAAACTGCACGCTTTAAACACATACACTTATGTATGCCAATAATGTCTCAATAAAGATTTTTTAAAATGTCAGGTATAGTTCTTGAGGTTATCTACCTCCAAAATATTCTAAGTCGTAGTCACTCTTCCATTCAAGTGACTAGTGCCACTCAACAACCAGCACTGGAGAAGAGTCAGGCAATCACCCCAACAAAGCATTTCAAGTGCTCCTTTCTCCCTGACCTTCCCCACCACAGCCCTGCCCACTTTTCTTTCTGGACTGACACCTGAGGTGAACTTACCAATCATGTCTGTGTCAACAGCTCGATCATAATAATAAGAGAAAGCATAGAAGGAGCTTCTCTGGATTTCTTCTGGCTGGTGAAGTTTTCCTTGTACCACCCTCAGGACTTCGGCATAGCAGGGCTCAAAGCCCATCTCCCCTGCCAGGGCAAAGGTACACGAGAAAAGTGAGGACAGTGACAGGGGAAAAGGCCATTCTCTGGAGCAAGCTGCTGGAGACAAGCAGGGAACAGCTGGAGGCTAAAGGAAAGCAGGAAGGAGAAGGCTAAGGCTTAGGACAAAGGGCTTACAATCAAAGATGAGCAAACTTCTGCAGCCCCACGATGCTCTGTTTCTCCATGGCAGCTTCCCTCCCTAACCTGTGTTCACCAAAACAGCATTACGTTTCATGGTATTTACAAACAAGTATCTAGAGGGCTCACCTGCCTCCTTCACTGGACGATCAAGTTTTTTCCTTGATACTAAGGTCCATGCCTTTTGTAATACCTAAGATGAATCATTCTTCTTATCATCAATTTTAAGTGATACTATAATTTAAATAACTAAACATTAACTGAACAAGTTTTCACGCTGCTACATTAGACCTAGGCTAAGAAAAATTTTCTTTTTTATTTGTTGCTATTCGCAGGTTCAATCATCATGCACTATAGCCTCTAACTCCTGGCTTCAAGGGATCCTCCCACCTCAGCCTCCCAAGTAGCTGAGACGACAAACGCACACCAACCCAGCTAAGAATAGGTTTCTAGTGCATCCATGAGGAAAGAGAATATGATGTAGAATGGCAGTTGCCCCACTTGTTGTCATTTCCCATTAGTCCTTGGAGGCATACCAAGATTCTTTGGAACAAGTCCTTGTAACCTGATAAACTTCTCTTGAGCTCTAGAAAAAGTTTCTCATGGGACTTTACCAGAATTTCTACTGTACAGGTAATTTTAACCAGCAAAAAAACATCACTTGCCTTCTTGGTTGCCACCATACTGGTATTTCACACCTCCAAAGATCCACTCTGCTTCCAACCATCTCGGTAGACAAGCACTTCGGAAAGTGTGTCCATCAATCCCTGAAAGAAACCAGGGCACAAAATAAAAGGCAAGTATGTGACAGAGAAGGGGGAACACAAACAAGAAGCCACTAAGGCTGAAAGGCATCACCAGAGGGAGTCGGGGGGCCTGGGCTTTAAAATTTGATGAAATCAGTTGTTCCATGACTATATCCTGTGACAGGAATTCTTAACCGAGGCTAGATGGGCTTTGTGGGGTTGGTGAATCCTCCCAAAACCAGAAGCAAATTTTCACGCACACGCACATGGCTTTCATCGCATCTTGAAAAAATCCAAAACCCACAATAGAGTAAGAGTTCCCTCCTTCCTAAAAACAGGAAAAAAATACCTTCCTCACTGGTTGCTGAGAGGCTTAAATGAAATACATTTGAAGATGTTTTGTGAACTCTGAAATGCAATATGGTCATCATCCTGATAATAGTTTACCGTGAGCCAAGCACTGTACAAAGTGCATTAAATGCAAAATCTCATTTAATGTGAGGAAAGGGGCAGAGAAAAGTTAACTAACTTGTCCCAAATCGTAACACTGGGACTGAACCCAGTTCTGCCTGATCCCAACTGTGAAGAGATGAGTGAAGTTGCTCAGTTATTCCACCTTGCAAGTACAACAGACCCTGCTTCCTGCACTTCCCATGTAAAGCTAGGGCTCGAGCAAGGTCTTGCCAGATGCGCTGTTTGAGTCCTGAATATCTGCAGATGCTTCCGCCCCATGGCTACAGACTGTACCCCCTATATAGGGAGATCTCATTCTAAAAATGGCTCATACTATATACCAAAACTTGTGAATTCATAAAATAGAAAAGAAATTAATAAAATAGATAAGGTCCATTACCAATTCAACATAAGCCTTTCCTCCATAGAATCGCTGCCAAGGAAAGGAAGAGGCAAGCTGAGTACTTGTGTCACTCTCACCATCCCCCACCCGACAGATACCCAGACAAACCTTGTGTCTCCAGGGCTCCCAGAGTTGCTAGTCTTGCAGCTTTCAATCCAAATCCCAAGTAACTGTAAAATACAGGATTGACCCATTTCATGCTAGTCGTGAAATTCTCTGTCTTAAAGCTACTTCTTTCAAAAGTAACATGGTTTGCATTTCCCTCTGCAGAGATGAAAACCTTGTTCTGTCTCTGTGACCTATACAACTCATGTGGTCAACAAGAATAATTTCTGTATAGCTTGGATCAAGGCCATACAGTACGAATTCCCCACAGCTATGATTCAAAAGTCAAGAGAAAATGACATACTGGATAGATGTGTTAAAAAAAAAAAAAAAAAGAGAGAGACAATGACAGTTCCTAGAGTCCCACACTAGGAACCATCCCCAGAAAAGGACTCATTAGTTTAGCTCCCAGACCCAAATGGGATCACATTCCAGGCTGGATGTTGAACACCTGAAGGCTAGCTCAAAGGAGTTGGTATGGAGCTAAGGCTGAGCCTTTTCCAAGTGTCCTCTCCCTAGAGAAAACTTTTGACTCTTTAAGTTACATACCTTTGAGGCCAAGAATGAAAAAGACTCTTAGGTCCCTAGGGCTTTGGAAAGTGTCTTGGGTTTCAGATGATAGGCCTTAGGGAACTGGCAAAGACTTATAAGGCTGACCAGATGTGATAACAGATTTGAGAACGCTCTGAAAAGCTGGAAGAATCATACAATGTGAAATATTCTTCCCTGTCCCCCTCCTCACCTGTGTGTGTAGAGCTTATAAGTACTGTTAAACATCTCAAAGGAAGTGAGGTAGCCCCTAGGTGTTTGTTCCAGGGTTTTCTGCAAATCAGAAAAAGCAAAAGACTATTTAGGATCTGCAATTATTTAAAGATGTTATCACCACCATCCCTGTCCCTCCCCCCACAAAATTAGAGACGGAGACGGACTAAGCTGCTAATTTCATAAGGTTTGAGGAATCAAAGGGACTCTGAACAGTGAGAGGGCAAGGGGAAGTCCACCCAGTCATTAATTCACTCTACGCAGCCTATCTGTGGTGAAGTTGCTGTCTGAAAATGGGGTACCACTTTCTTAGCACTATGATATGCCTGCTGAGGGCATTGCTAACCACACCTTCATGTAAATGACTCACCTTAAACTGGGGCAGGAACGTGATTTGGGTGGAGGCCCCCCCCAGGTCCAGGGTCCCCACGGTCTCTTGGCTGTGGCCATGCAGCTGACCTGTCAATGAGAGTCAGCTCTAAATATCCTCCATATGCTGGACAGCCAACACTCATCTGTCTGCATTGTCTCTCCTGCTCTTGTCATTCACTGAAGGTCCACAAATACTCCACTGCTCCCCAGACCCAAGGGCTGCAGGTGAGCATCCACTCACAGGGACTCTTGCTGCAGCTGAGGCCTTGAAGGCCAGTTATAAACATTAACTTCCTGTCTTTCCTTTTTTTTTTTTTTTTAAAGAACAATACAGAAAAAAATAAAGGAATTTTACTCTTCTGACCATGTGTGTAAAAGCCAGTTAAGGTTTTAAGATAAGCTTACCTGTCAGAAAATTCACAGTAACCCAAGCTAATATGCCTAAAAAAGAGAGAAAGACAAGGATTACATTCCAGAGCACTTTTCTTTTTCCTGGCCCCATGTTTGTTCTTTTCCTTTTTTAATTTCATGTCTAGAGCACACATTTCCCTTCTCCCTGTCCTTTGATGTCCTGCTGTCCTGTTTCTCCAGCTTGTTTGTTTCTCCATACTTAGTTCCTTTCTTTTCAGCACCCATCCCTGTTCCCAGTTTCATTAGTTAGATCTTTCATTGACCCTGCTCCTTTCCCCCTGGAACACATTAACACCACCTCTCCCACCTTCATAGGATCCGTCCATGATGCTAACACTGTCCTTTGGTACCAGGAAAGGTGACTTCCTGAAGATCTCCTTTACCTAGAGAAAAAGGGAAAAATGTGGATTCCCTAAGGCAGTAAAATGGATTTCCATATTTTGACCGTGTCCTATAAAGCTTATAAAACTATTCCATTACTAAAATTTTAGCAAAACTCATTCCTTTGCCCTAAGAAACTAGAGAAGAAACTAGGCAAGCTATTACTAGTTTCTTGCAAAAACAAATACACAAGGATTCCTTGGACTTTAAAGTAAAGCTCAAACCATCTAAACTTACAGGTGACTTGGACCTAGGGAAGGGTATATATCTGACACTGTGAGTTCAAGTCAAGACCCTGTCATTTTTAAAAAAAAACACCTGATTCTTTTTGTTTTGTTTAACCAAACATACCCTGGGCAGTGGGAGGAGCTTTTCCCACTCCATTTCTTAGATGAGCAGAGGAACCCGCTGTGGTGAAAGAGCTCATGCTCTGGGGCTGAGGGACTCTCCTACCAGCTCCTCGGGTTCTGGTGTGTGGCTGGGGCCTCTAGAGTCTAGGAAGACTTCAAATCTAGACTTATGCAATCCTATTTTAGGAGATGGGAATGAAGATCTCATACAAACACTAGACTCTCCATAATACAGGCCAATGACATGGTTATTATGTCTTATTTGTATACGATTTTTTTTTTTTTTTTTAGAGACTGGATCTTGCTCTTGCTCAGGCTGGTCTTGAACTCCTGAGCTCAGGCAGTCTTCCCACCTCAGCCTCCCAAAGTGTATGTGATTATCCTGGGGGGAAAAGAATTCTACAGATAGGGATATAAAGAACTCTAGTCTGGTTGCTCTCCTTATTTCTGATGGGATAAAACACATCAAACAGTGACCTATGGACTCTGTTTCAACCAGGAAAAGCCAGTTAAGTGATCTATAAATAACCTTTAAGGAGAAGATAGATAAGCAAACAGGAATAAGATACAAGAGAGTTTCTGCTCTTGCCTTCTCCATTTTTCTCTCCCACCTCACAGTTTGTTCTCAACACAGTAGCCAGAATGGTGCTTTTAAAATGGAGGTCGGGAGGCCAAGGAGGGCAGATCGCTTGAAGTCAGGAGTTCAAAACCAGCCTGAGCAAGAGCGAGACCCCATCTCTACTTAAGATGGAAACAAAATTAATTGGCCAACTAAAAATACATAGAAAAAATTAGCTGGGCATGGTAGCACATGCCTGTAGTCTCAGCTACTCAGGAGGCTGAGACAGAAGGATTGCTTGAGCCCAGGAGTTTGAGGTTGTTGTGAGCTAGGCTGACGCCACAACACTCTAGCCCAGGCAACACAGTGAGACTCTGTCTCAAAAAACAAACAAAAAAAATAAAATTAAAAAATTAAAATATATACAAAAAATTAGCTGGGGCCAGGCGTGGTGGCTCACGCCTGTAATCCTAGCACTCTGGGAGGCTGAGGCAAGTGGATCGCTCAAGGTCAGGAGTTCAAAACCAGCCTGAGCAAGAGCGAGACCCCATCTCTACTAAAAATAGAAAGAAATTAATTGGCAGCTAAAAATATATGTAAAAAAAATTAGCTGGACATGGTGGTGCATGCCTGTAGTCCCAGCTACTCAGGAGGCTGAGGCAGAAGGATTGCTTAAGCCCAGGAGTTTGAGGTTGCTGTGAGCTAGGCTGACGCCACGACACTCTAGCCTGGGCGACAGAGTGAGATTCAGTCTCAATAAATAAATAAAATGGATGTTGGATCATGTCTTCCCTTAGGTCAAAAGCTTCTTCTGGTGGCTTCCTTCTTAGAGAAAAAGCCAAAGTCTTTATACCGGCCTTTGAGCCCCTACATGAGCCCCTCCCACACCCACCTCTCTGACCTCCTCTCCTACTTCCCTGTTATTCACTCCCCTCAGCAGTCCTCGACTCCTGGATGCTGGTCCTAACACACCAAGCACATTCCTGCCTCTGGCATCTACACCTGCTATTTCTTTAGCCTGGAATATTCTTCTCACAACATCTTGTGTAACTTGCTTCTTCATTCCCCTCAGATCTCTGATCAAAGGAATCTTATCAAAGAGGTCTTCCTTGCCTGCCTTATTTAAAATAGCATTTCCCCCCACACCATCACTAGGAGTCCCTACCTGCCTTACCCTGCTTTCTTTTTCTCCATAGCATCTACGGCACTTGACATACTTTCTGTTGGCTTGTTTGGTTGTTTATTTTCTGTCTTCCTGAAACTAGAAGGTAAGCTTCAGGAGGGCAAAGACCATTTTGTCTTTTTGTTCCCTGTCATAGGTATCCCCAGTAACTTCACCAGCACCTGGTATACAGTAGGCACTCATTTGTTAAAGAAATGAATGAATGAATAGAAGAACTGGAATTCAGATTCTCACACAGATCTACTAGACTGCTTGTCCTTGGGCAAGGGACTTACACTTTCTATACTGACAAAGGAAAATGGATTTAGAGGACTGAATTAGCACACCTGTAATACAGAATCTTTTCTTGCTGTGATTTCTTTGTTATAATAGGATTCTGCCTATACATATTCTTCTCAATATGAAATTTAATCTTATTAATTTACATATTTACTGCATAATAAATATGTATGATAAATTAAAAATACTGAGTTTAACAGAACTTTCTATACTTAAATTTTTGATCTGAAGAAGAAGGGAGTTGAAATAGATGACTTTTAAAAATCTTTCAAACTTTTTATTACAGAACACATTCTTACATTCAGGAAAAAAATACATAAAATATCTTCCAAACTTTAAAATTCTATGATTCTTCTCAAAAACTCTGCTTAGCGAAAAAAGCCAGCTATTCAAAAAAAAAAAGGATATAAACTGTATACTTCCATTTATATGAAATCTAAGAACAGGTAAGACTTATCTATATTGACAGCAGATTCATGGTTGCCTGGTTTCAGGGGTGGGGAAAATGACTTTTGGGGCATGAGAAAACATATTTGTCAAAACTCATTTAATTGTACACTTATAATGGATACATTTTATTGTATGTAAGTTTAACTTAATAAAGTTGATTAAAAACAACTATGATTCTGCTTTAAAAAGTTAGAAAATTAAGCATGTCATGGACAGGAGGTACTTTAAATGTTTTGGGAAAAGCTCTATAAATTCGAGAATAATAATTAAAAATGTAAATAGCTGTAACAAGAGCCCAGAGTCATCATAGTGCCTTAGCAACGGTGGAATACTAAAGGTAGCAGTCATACTCCAAAGGTTAAAAACTCATAAAGAAGATATTAATATAGGGAAAAGGACAGAATTATCCAAGATGCAGATTTCAAAAATCTGCAAAGATTTACCTCAAAGAGCAGAGCCTGGGCTTTCCGTTCTGGCAATAAGCGCAGTCCCGCTGTTGCCTTCAGGACCACTGGGGTCGTCTTCCAGTGACTTCGGGGGATTGAGTCTTTAGCCACCTCTAAGAGTCCTTGAACAGTCTCAGCACCCTTCAAAAGAGATGTCCTATTCATCCAGTGAACAGTCTAGTTAGTGGCACTGGTCTATGCCCTCAATATGCTTTGGGGGAACAACAAGAGTGAGGTGGCAGAGGGCTCCAAGCCCTCTCTGTGCTATAGGAGCAGAAACCTACAGAAGCGACTTTGAAAAAGGAGAATCCATTTCATTTTGATAGTTAGGATAAATATCATTCTTTTCTATTGTGGCCATTTTAGTTGACTGTTATTTTATGTCTCACATAAGTTAGCTTTAGGCCAGAGAGTTGGGTATAGTGAAGAAAACACAAGAGTTACAGTCAGACGACTTGCTTGCTAGCCCTCCAGCCTAATCTGAGTCACATGGCCTTAGTTTTCTCAGGTGTAAGATGGGAGATATGCCTCATACCATCACTAAACTATTGTGCACATGAGGCAGAGTTGTGTGGTTGACACATAATGTTAGCTGTAGCTGTTTTCATGTTATACTTTTTTTCCCTCTCAGAGACAGGGTCTTGCTCTGTCCCCCAAGCTAGAGTGCAGTGGCCCAATCATCGCTCACTGCAAACTTGAACTCCTAGGCTCAAGTGATTCTCCAGCCTCAGCCTCCCAAGTAGCTGGGACTACAGGCATGTACCACCACACCTGGCTGAGAGTATTTTTTTTTAATTTTAATTTTTTTTTTTTTTTTGAGACAGGTCTCACTCTGCCCAGGCTAGAGTGCTGTGGCATCATCATTGCTTATTGCAACCTCCAACTCCTGGGCTCAAGTGATCCTCCTGCCTCAGCCTCCCGAGTAGCTGAGATTACAGGCAAGTGCCACCACACCCAGCTAGTGTTTTTTCTATTTTTTGTATCGATGGTGTCTCGCTCTTGCTCAGGCTTCATGTTATATTTTTGATGATCTCCTTAAAGACAGAATAGGTCAGGCTTATTTTGTATTATCAGCACCTACATATGTGGCACAGAGGAGATGCTCAATTTATGATAAATGAAAATCTTTTTTTTTTTTTGAGACAGAGTCTCGCTTTGTTGTCCAGGCTAGAGTGAGTGCCGTGGCGTCAGCCTAGCTCACAGCAACCTCAAACTCCTGGTCTCAAGCAATCCTCCTGCCTCAGCCTCCCGAGTAGCTGGGACTACAGGCATGCACCACAATGCCTGGCTAATTTTTTCCTCTATATATTAGTCGGCCAATTAATTTCTTTCTATTTATAGTAGAGACGGCGTCTCGCTCTTGCTCAGGCTGGATTCAAACTCCTGACCTCCAGCAATCCTCCTGCCTCAGCCTCCCAGAGTGCTAGGATTACAGGCGTGAGCCACCGCGCCCGGCCGAAAATCATTATTTTAAATCTACTGTTTCCCTGAATGAACATTTATTCTAACAAAGCACTGCTCTTTAATCATTATTACTAGAAACTGCAACAACACAATCATCTTTTCTAAATGTCAAATCAGTGTCTGATAATGTAGTTGCTCTCAACAGCTACTAATTTTCTAGCACATTTGCCATTCATGTGCAACTGAACTAAGATATATACTCTCAATTCTCCAAACTCAAACCATTTTTAACATCATGTTTTCCTTTGGGTAATACACATTTTTGTGACACAAAACAATAAATACCTTCATGTCTGCTCCCAAAGTTCAATATTCTGCCTTATTCTATTTCATTTCAGCATGGCCTCAGACAGACTGGATGTAGTATGTTGTGTGTGCTCAAATGTGAAATACAGGCACCACAAACTCTCCATTCATTCTTTTTGTTTGTTTGTTTGTTTGTTTGTTTGTTTGAGACAGAGTCTTGCTTTGTTGCCCAGGCTAGAGTGAGTGCCATGGCATCAGCCTAGCTCACAGCAACCTCAAACTCCTGGGCTCAAGCAATCCTACTGCCTCAGCCTCCCGAGTAGCTGGGACTACAGGCATGCGCCACCATGCCCGGCTAATTTTTTCTATATATATTAATTTCTTTCTATTTGTAGTAGAGACGGCATCTCACTCTTGCTCAGGCTGGTTTCAAACTCCTGACCTCGATCAGTCCGCCCATCTCAGCCTCCCAGAATGCTAGGATTGCAGGCGTGAGCCACTGTGCCTGGCCTCTCCTTTCGTTCTTTGCTACCAAAGGTTTTTGTCATATGGGCTATTGCCTAAGTTCTAGAATACAGGCATAGTTCCATCCTACATCAAGGCACTCAAATGAAATTCGAGAAAGAAGGAGACAGCTGGCGAAATCTGGCCCAGTCTTTGGCACTTGTGTGCTGGGCACTGAGCTGGGGTCCCTTCTCCACCGTTCCATTTCCAGGAGGGCCCAGGAGTCTCTGCCACGGCTTCTGACACCCTGTGGCCTGAAGGTACTGGGATATCCATAGGGAAGACATTGGGACACCCCAAAAGCTTAGGAAAAGGTGAGTGTGAGGGTAGGTTGTGTGTCCCATGTGTGGGTTGGGGCTGGTCACAGTGGCCGGAAGTGGCTGTGGTGGACCAGGCCTTCTCGCATCAGCTGGAGAGTCTTGAGACCTGAAGTTCACCACTGGCACACCTTAGCCCCCAGTAGCCCTCAGTTCCCTCTGGCCACGGGGTGGGGCTGGGCGGGCAGCTGGGACCTAGTGCGTCCTGTCCTGTCCCTGCACATTTACTCTGCCTGCAGCCGGGAGCCCTCTCTGTACAGCTCTGCACCCACAGCCCCGTGTCTCCCCCGGGTTGTGTGGGGAGAGGGCGTGGTCCTCAAGGGAGAATCTCCACTCAGTGTGCAGGGTCTATTCGTGGGAGAAGCTGTGAGTCCATGAGGTCCCCATACCTCCTTTCTCCTATTAAAAATTAACCTGAGAAAGTGTGAATACTTAAAAGAATTTATTTGAGCAAATAGTAATTTATGAATCTAAAAGCCTCTAAACATGGTTTGTGGTCTTGGGGCCACTGGAAGGGCTTGAAGGAAAGGCTTTTATAAGGTGCATGTGGATGCAAACGACATTCAATGATTGATTAGGTACAGCTATGTAGTGGCCTTATTTGGACTATGCATGTGGCTATTTTCTGGTTTTGTAATCAGAATGTTATTAGCAGTTCATAGTTATTTGCCTAAGTTTTGTCTTCCTTCAAGTTGTAATTTACAGGAAATGCATTTGAGTTAGAATTAGGTTTCCGTAGGGGGAAACTGAGGACACTACAGTCTGCCTGCCCCTTTTTTAAAACTATTTTAACACTTTCTGGGGGACTGATTTTCCTTGCATTTTGCAAATGTATGGCAAGCAGTGTCTCAGATTCAAGATGCAAATCCAGTTTGCCCCGCCTAAGTCTTCTAGGGCCTGTTGGAAATCCTAAATGTCCAGTTCCTTCTCCACATTCCCAAAGCCTACCTCTCTCCAACTCACAACATTATCAACTATTCATCCTTTATTTTTCAAAGAGACACAATATTTTAATTTTTGATCATTTTTTTCACAGCGCTGTAACTTTTTAAAAATATGTATTTTCTGCATCTGAACATTTCACATGAGAGGAAAGCAGAAAATAATCACCTGATACTCCCCTGTAAAAAAATCTTTGTGCTTCTCCTACTTTTATCTTCCCTAGGCACACACACCTTACCAGGTTATCTTTAGACTGAGGTTACCCTTTCAAAACTTTACAGGGTGATGTGTCCTCAGCCATCCTCTTGTCTTTTCCTGGTCCTGGTTTCACAACTATTTAGGGATGACCCAAGATGCCCACAGCAGCCATGTCTCCTGGAGTGTCTAGTGAATGTCAGCCCTGTGCCACCTCATGTGTGGAGAGGCACAGAGCATGTCTCCTGGGATGGTGGTCATTGAGTTCTTCAATGAGCAGGGTATGAGCAGGGTGAGGGTATGAGGATTTCCCAAGTGATAAGACAGTCTGGTTTGACACAGGAGCCACACGTGTCTGTGCTGTAATCAGCACCACCCCTCCCTGGACTTGTTACCTTAAAAAGATTTATTCATTAACTATAAAATGTATTTTATCAGCAAAGCCTGAAAGACAATAAAATGTTTCCAATGAGGCAAGAAAGAGGTAGCTTTTAGGGAAAATAATTTAGGCTTATATTCTATTTGTTGATAATTCTTATTTACCTTTTTTCTTCCCCAGAGTGGGTACTGTAGGTAGTCTGTTCTATTTTGTGGGTGATTTCAAACAGAATAACAGAGCTTAGCTTTGGGAATGCTTAAGGAGAAGAAATAGGGACAATATCTCCACCATTATGGCTGAAAAAAAAAAAAAAAAAACCAAATCTCCACAAGTGTGGTAGGTAAATTGAATTGTAAGTATTTACCAAGACATCAGTTTCTTTCTTTTGCAAAGTGGAGAATTTTTGACAGTAGAAAACTCTGTTCTGTGTCCTAAGATCTAGATGTCAGAGTTTATAGCTAAATTTTATGTGACAGGGCTTGGCAGTTACTAGAATTGTTTATGGATGACTCATTGCTTGCTAAATGAGTTATAACAGAACTAATAATTAAATAGCAAGTTTATTGTCTGAAAGGAACAGATATTTTTACTTTTCCTATTGAGATGTGAAATGTAAGTGCCTTGTAATTTTCTTCCCTTCTATAAACATAAACACTGAGTTGGAGTGATTTTGTTGGATTCTTTACATAATGGCTGTTTCTCATTTAAAACTATGTGAATAACCTGGGCTGGGCATGGTGGCTCACGCCTGTAATCCTAGTACTCTGGGAGGCCGAGGCTGGCAGATCCCTCAAGGTCAGGAGTACGAAACCAGCCTGAGCAAGAGCAAGACCTCTTCTCTACTATAAATAGAAATAAATCAATTGGCCAACTAAAAACATATAGAAAAAATTAGCTGGGCATGGTGGCGCATGCTTGTAGTCCCAGCTACTCAGGAGGCTAAGGCAGGAGGATTGCTTGAGCCTAGGAGTCTGAGGTTGCTGTGAGCTAGGCTGATGCCACAGCACTCTAGCTGGGGCAACAGAGTGAGACTCTGTCTCAATAAATAAATAAATCATAAATACATAAATAAATAATAAATAAATCTATGTAAATAACCTTAACTGGGAAGCAGAGAGCTGGGCTCAGAGACTCCAAGCAAAGGTTAATCCTGATCTAGCAAAAGGAGGTTACCGAAGGCCCAGTTAGTTCTTCCTGGAGAGCCTCCCCTCCAGGTCCCAGTCTGTTTACACCAATCATGGAATGAGCCCTTTACTGAAAGAAGCTACAGAGTCCTAGAAACCTGGGGATCCACCGGAATTGGGATGGCAGTGGGGGTGAGGGGCTAATGCCTTTTCAGAGGGTATAATTGTTATTGTCCTAGGGTTGTTTTTAGACATTATCAAATAAAATAAATTCTAATTAAAAAAATAAAAATAAAATGAAATTCACTGGTCTCCATCTCCTGAATACCATGTTTATACATCATACTCCATAAAACTTTGTCTATCTTCTATCTTCTTCATTTACGTAAAGCAATGCAATTGATGGCTTCAACACAAATCCTAAATAGTAAATACACAGGGAACAATCTCTTAAAAGCTAGTGTCATCCCTGAATGACCACAATCTATTTTCTAGCCTCCTTCCACCCAGCCTTCATGAGCCCGGAGTATACAATTACTATTCTTCACGAGGTTAGGGGAGAGAAAACTGATCTCATACAAGACTTTAATCTCATTAATGAACAGCATGAGATATTTAACAGCAGTGTTGTTGTTAAATTATCAAGTTACTGAGAATCAAAACATTAAATCATAAGAAACTCACCTGCTTAGGTTGATCTACAAAAGCAGAAAGTCCTGGCTTCACAGAATCAAAAATTTCCCCTTCTAGAATTGGAAGCTGTCCTATTTTGTCCATGGAACAAAACAGAAGAAAGCAAGTAATGTAATACAAACCAACAGTGAGGCTGCTTCAGACAATGGGCTCTGTAAACTTTCCTATTACTTATTAGGTTAACTTGCTCTTCCCTCAAGCTATTCCAAATGATCCCATTAGTGAGGAATGTCTTGCAGGAGTACTAGAGAAACCCCTGAGGGTCCTGCTGCCATTTCTCTGGTGGACACCTAACTACTACTCCTTTTCCCAGGCTCTATAGGCAACCTGAGGAAAGAACACTGATAATTCAGAAAAAGTTGAGTCCTCTCAGCCCCTTGTCCAAGGATATCAGTGAAACTCTTATGTGATTCTTCTCCCAAGACCACTCTCAATATTCTGGACCCCTGGAGTATTAACCACCTTTAGAGAAGAGTAAGAACAAATTACAGCCATTTTTCTTGAACACATGGGTTTCACACTACATGCAGCCCTTCTCTCAAAATTCCACAAGGAATTAAATCATGTGTTCAATTATAGTCAAAAGTGTTCTCTGAAGAAGGACATTCACTAGCTGTAAGATTCTGTAATTCATATCAGGAACTCTCAGCACATTTGTTTCTGGCAGGGGATGCTAAAGTATGAATTTATAGACTCTGGTAAGGGTCCCAGATGCACTTACCTGGTGTTTTCTGCACAAAGGTGTAAACATGAATTCGAGTTCCAGTGCTCCCTGCATCAAACATAATTCCATACAAGGTGCTGGCACTGACATTGATGGGGCACATGGAAGACAGGAAGACACCCTCAAACCAAGTCTGCTGGTCCCTGTGGAAGACAGTGCTGCAAACACAGGATACCACCAGCATGAAAAAGATTGCACTCCAGGAAGTGGCCATTCTTTTCCCAAGATATGGTTGGGTTTAGGCTTTTGATGCAGCAGCAGTCTTGCACACACACCTGTAGTGGCTTATAGGATAAAAACACACAAGGTTAGACCAACTGGCTTTCTTGGTTACACCTTTAGAAGAATAAACACACTGTACCTAAGGTGTTCCTTCTCTATTTCTAATAACAAGTACAATGAGCTAATATAGGCTCTTAGCACCTCTTCTGCAGGGAATCTGGTTCCAAAAGGAAATTGAGATTTAAAATATATTTTCCAGCTAGGTGCAATGGCTCACACCTATAATCCCAGCACTCTGGGAAGCTGAGGCAGGAGGATTGCTAGAGGCAAGGAGTTCAAGAGCAGCTTGGGCAACATAGCTAGACCTCGTCTCTACAAAAAAATATGTAAAGTTAGCTGAGCATGGTGATATTCACCTGTAGTCCCAGATACTAAGAAGGCTGAATCAGGAGGATCACTTGAGCCCAGGAGTTCAAGACTGTAGTGGGCTATGATCTTGCCATTGCACTTCAGCCTGGGCAACAGAGCAAGACCCTATCTCCATAAAACAAAACAAACAAACAAAAATACATACATACATACACACACACATATACATTTCCCCCCCATGCTTTGTTTTTTTATTGATACATAATATACATATGTGTACATATTTATGGGATATATGTAATATTTTGATATATGTAAACAGTATAATTATCAAATTGGGTTATTTAAGATATCCATCACGTCAAACATCATTTCTTCATGTGGGGAACATTTCATATCTTCTACTCTAGCTATTTGGAAATATACAATAAATTATTTTATTTTATTTCTTTGAGACAGAGTCTCACTCTGTTGCCCAGACTAGAGTGCTGTGACATCAGCCTAGCTCACAGCAACCTCAAACTCCTGGGCTCAAGCAATCCTTCTGCCTCAGCCTCTCAAGTAGCTGGGACTACAGGCATATGCTACCATGCCCAGCTAATTTTTTCTATATATTTTTAGTTGGCCAGTTAATTTCTTTCTATTTTTAGTAGAGATGGGGTCTCACTCTTGCTCAGGTTGGTTCTGAACTCCTGACCTTGAGCAATCCTCCCACCTCGGCCTTCCAGAGTGCTAGGATTACAGGCGTGAGCCACCGCGCCCAGCCTACAATAAATTATTGTTAACTAAAGTCACCTCACTGTGCTTTCAAACACTAGAACGCATTCTTTCTAATTGTATGTTTGTACCTATTAACCAACCTCTCTTCATCCCAACCCCTCATCCTTCCCAGCCTCTGGGGACTATTATTTGGCTCTCTACTTCCATGAGATCAATCTCTTTAGCTTCTATGTATGGGTGAGAACATGTGGTATTTGTCTTTCTGTGCCTGGCTTATTTCACTTAACATAATCTCCCATGCTTTATTTTGAATTGTAGGGTGATTCTCACATACTCAAAGGTTCTCTGCCACCTGCTCCTACTGTTGAGTCTAATTTTCTTCTTTCCATTTTGACAAATTTGCCTTTAGATCATAAACTAACACCCCTTCCTCCCTTTTTCCTTCCCTTCCTTCTTTATGATTGATAGATAAGAAGCTTCAACTTGTGAATTAAAGTTACAAAGTTACAAAGAAGTTATAAAGTCCCTACCATTGGTGTGTTCACAGTCCTCAAAAATTAGGCCACTGGACTGTCACTGGTGATCAACAATATTGCCAGTGGCTCACACATATAACTACATTTATTAACATAACTACATTTTGCCCGGCTAGCTCAGTTGGTAGAGCATGAAAAAGAAAAAAAAAAAAAAGAAAAGAAAGAGAAAAAATTTAAAAAAATTATGAAAGAATAAAAAAATATTAAAAAATAAAAAAAAAACATAACTACATTTTAAGGAAATAAATCAACTTAATTTAAAAACACTTAAGTAGGCCAGGTGTGGTGGCTCACACTTGTAAACCTAGCACTCTGGGAGGCCGAGGTGGGAGGATGCTCAAGGTCAGGAGTTCAGAATCAGCCTGAGCAAGAGCAAGACCCCATCTATACTAAAATTAGAAAGAAATTAACTGGCCAACTAAAAATATACAGAAAAATTAGCCGGCCATGGTGGCATATGCCTTAGTCCCAGCTACTTGGGAGGCTGAGGCAGAAGGATTGCTTGAGCCCAAGAGTTACAGGTTGTTATGAGCTAGGCTGACACCGTGGCACTCTAGCCTGCGCAAGAGAATGAGACTCTGTCTCAAAAAAAAAAAAAAAAAAAAACCAAAATCAAAAAAACACTTAAGGCTGGACGCGTGGCTCATGCCTATAATCCTAGCACTCTGGGAGGCCAAGCCAGGGGGATTGCTCGAGGTCAGGAGTTCAAAACCAGGCTGAGCAAGAACCCTGTCCTCTACTAATAAATAGAAGAAATTAATTGCTGACTAATATATATACGAAAAATTGGCCAGGCATGGTGGCACATGCCTGTACCCCAGCTACTCGGGAGGCTGAGCAAAGGATTGCTTAAGCCCAGTAGTTTGAGGTTGCTGTGAGCTCGGCAGACACCATGGCACTCACTCTAGCCTGGGCAACAAAGTGAGACTCTGTCTCAAAAAAACACAAAAAAAAACCCCAAAACACTTAAGTAGACCATTATAGTTTTAAAAACAGCCTTCACAAGTTTCAGGCCACGTTATCCATAAGAACTTAAGGCAGGCCGGGTGTGGTGGCTCACGTCTGTAATCCTAGCACTCTGGAAGGCCAAGGTAGATGGATAGCTCGAGGTCAGGAGTTTGAAACCAGCCTGAGCAAGAGCGAGACCCCGTCTCTACTATAAATAGAAAGAAATTAATTGGCCAACTAATATATATACAAAAAAATTAACCAGGCATGGTAGCACATGCCTGTAGTCCCAGCTTGGGACGGACTTGGGAGGCTGAGGCAGTAGGATCGCCTGATCCCAGGAGTTTGAAGTTGCTGTGAGCTAGGCTGATGCCACGGCACTCACTCTAGCCTGGGCAACAAAGCGAGACTCTGTCTCAAAAAAAAAAAAAAAGAACTTAAGGCAGATGGGGAAATTAAGACAGACAGGTCTATATAGGCTTGCTAAAAGTTAACTTAGTAATGAAATCCAGATCAGAAATCACTCGCGGCTAGGTGCAGTGGCTCATGCCTGTAATACTAGTACTTTGGTCTCAAACTTATGACCTCAAGTGATCCTCCTGCCTCAGACTCCCACAGTGCTAGGATTACAGGTGTGAGCCACCACACCTGGCCAATCTTAACACTTTTGGAAGCTGAGGCAGGAGGATCTCTTGAGACCATGAGTTCAAGACCAGCCTGAGCAATGTGGCAAGACCTCGTCTCTGAAAAAAAAACCAAACCTAACAAATAAAAAAATTAGCCATGTGTGGTGATGCATGTGTGAAGTCCCAGCTACTCAGGAAGCTGAGGTGGGAGGATTGCTTGAGTCCAGCACTGAACTATGGATAACAGCAGTGTACTCTAGCCTGGGCAATAGAGAACCTGTATTAGAAAATATATATATTTTTAAATCACACTTCACTCTTACCAACTTTTTTCTCTGATTCCAAAATGCCTCCCTTAAGCAAGTTATTGCCCATATTTCTTAATATGTCCTCAGTAGAAATAAAAAATTTAGTGTGCTCAGCATTATTTATTTTGGATTTTTATATTATGGTAGATTAGATATAAATATTGCTGAAAACCTAGACGTGGAACACAGTAGAGAAAGCATAGAGTCTCAGGTCAGAGGACTTGAGTTTCAGTCCCAGCATCTCTATCTGTTGGGTAGTTGTATGATCTTGGGCAGGTCTTTTAGCCTGTCTGAGGTTCCATTTCCTCATCTGTAAAAGGGGAATAAGCATACCTATCTTACCTACCTTCCATGGTTATCAGGAAAATCAAATGATGTATTATATACATAAAAGTTTGGGGTTTTTGTGTTTAAATTATAATACTTTGTTCAAATATTATATAATAACTTTTAGTGTTTTTCCAGGACTGAAGTTTTGGAAAGTAGAAGGAGAGTGAATTTTTTATTGTTACTAGAAAATAATTTTCAAAATGTATAGGAGTTTTTAAATTTTTGCATCATTTTATAACAAAGTCATGATAATGAGTTTGAATTTTCCCAATGCCTGTGATAAAAAACACTTGGTAGTGTTCAATGGAATAATGGAATCCCTTCTACATGGTTGCTTTAGTAGTAACTTTTTTCCCTTTCTTTTCCTGGAGCAACATTAAATGAGAAGGAAACAACAAAAAAGTATTTTTTGTTTTGGTGATTTGTAGCTGGCCTGCTGTAAAGCTCAGACTGTGTTTTATGATCTCATCTGTAGAGTTCCTTAAGGTCAGGGTTCCTCAAACCATGGCATTACTGACACTTGGGGTTGGATAATTCTGTGTTGTAGGGCTGTCCTGCATGTGGTAGAATGTTCAGCAGTGCCCCTAGCCTCTACTCACTAGATGTCAGTAGCACATCCCAACCCCTCAGTTCCCCACATCAATTGCAACAACCAAAAATGTCTCCAGACCTTGCCAACTTGTCTGCTGGCTATTTTCTCTGCTCTGTATATTATTTACATGTAAAATCTATTTTTATACATTTTATTTATATATATATTTACTTTAAAATTCTTATTTTTATAAATTTTCAGATATATTTATATACATTAAAATATATAAATTTTCTCTGCTGTAGACTATAGCTGCTCTTGGCACTAGTGAATAATGCCATATCTATCCTTTAACAGTTAAGGCATTTTGCTCAAAACAGTTTTGGGTGCTCACTTCGGTAGCACATATACTAAAATTGGACGATACAGAGAAGATTAGCATGGCCCCCGTGCAAGGATGACACGCAAATTCGTGAAGTGTTCCATATTAAAAAAAAACACACAAAAAAAACAGTTTTGAGTATTCTTATCCAGCTTTCATCTCTGGATCTCTTATGCAAGTCATAGTTACTGGCTAAGCAACATGATCTGATTCCAAAGTTCCCCTTTCCCAGACCCTTCATCTCAAACACTTCGTATATTTGGAGTACAGTTTCAGGATTCTCAATCACCTCAAATCTGTAGACTATGTAT